CTTTATATATATATAAAATTAGGAAAACACGAAAAAACTAAGGAAAGATTTTCTTGGAAAAACCTATTAATCTTTACTACATTTAAATCAGAATATCACTCTTTAACTTTTTTCGAAGTCATTAAATTAATACCTATTTAGATTAAGGAGATATTATTGTCAATGTTAGGAAGGGGGATTTAATATATTTATATTGAAATTATTAATATTAATACTATTAATAATAGGTTTACTATATCGAATATAATTAATAAAAAAATCAAATTATAGATTCCTATAATAATTTAGGCTTTTTAGTATTCAAAAGCTTTATAAAAAAGTTTCAATTATGAAGAAAAAGATTCTTAGGTATAGGAAAATAAAGAATGAAAACTCTTTAAAAAGCTTTACTTTTTTTAAGAAATATTTTATAAAAAATATATTAATATAGTATTTAATATTCTATCAATATATTTATAGCTATTCTATATAATGAAGAGAAAAGCTAAACCTTTTAAAAAATATTTATAATATATTAATTCAAGTATATAACGTGGTTTATCAGTGAGTGGGTCATATCAGTGAATGGGTCATTTGAAAATACATCAAAATTAGGTCTTTTTAAATATTCTTATTTTAATAACTAATCATTATTTTAAAAAAAGAAAAGAATTTTCAATAATAATAAAAAACCAACTTTTTACAAATCTATTCTTTATATAAATATTTATATTATATTCTAAAAAAAAAGTGAAAATTGTCACGATTTTCGTTACAAAAAAAATATTTTTATAATAACTACTATAATAATTCAAATTTTTAATAAATGATTAAATTTTTATAATATTTATATAGTTGAATTTCAATATTTTCAGACTTTTTCAAATTATATTATTAGATAAAGAAAGTGCACGGTTACACATAGACGAATCTTGTATGTAAAATGGGTGACCCATTCACTAATATGACCCACTCACTGATAAACCACGTTAGCACTTTATATTAGTATATAATATTATTATAAAATATTGATTTCAATATTACTTTATATGATAGATAATATATTATCGATTATAATTAAAAAAAATAATAACTTTTTAATATAGAGTGTATATTATTAAAACAATAGTATTCTAATATCATTACATTTACTATTTCAATTTTATTCAATTATTTAGTTTTATAATATAGTTTTATTCTTTATATTAATGAATTGATTCAATAGGCTTTAATATATTGTATTCTATATCGATAGGGTAATTCAGTGGGAAAAAAGGGAATAAGAAATATTAGGTTTTAAAAAGAAATTATATACTATCGATGTATTATGGAAAAAGATGAATATAAGATTTATAAATAATGGATTAGGGGTTATAATAGGATTCTTGAAGGATTTGAAGTATTAAAGGACGAAAACAATTCTTAGAGAGAGATATAATATTATAACTAATTATAGCTTTTATAATATTTTGAAAAAAGTTGAATAAAAAGAAAGAGATTATTGTAATAAAATAGAAAGTATAGGGTTTTTATAGGTATATTAAAGGATTTAATAGAAAAAAGGTTTTTGAATATAATAAGTCTATAATATAGATAATTTGAAGAACTTGAAAGGATTGTTTAGGAGGTTGTTTGTGGGTTTTAATAAAGAAGTTTGAAGAGGGGTGGATTTTTATTTCCTTTTTCTATCTATTTTATTCAATTAGAATCATATATAGGTGCATTGTATAGTCTTAGTATAGCTATATAGACCGAATTGATTATGAATTTACTATTATTACTACTATATAAAATTAATCTTTTACTTAAAATTAAATTTTTATTTAATAAATTTAATATTTATAATTCTTTTAAATAAAAGGAGGGATATGTTTAAAGTAATTCTTGAATTTAATATTTTTATTTATTTTAAAGTTTTGTAAGTAAAAAATTTATATTAATAATTTAAATATATTTTGATAATAAAATGAAAAAATAAAAGAGGAATTGTTTAAACTATATTAATTTAGTTTTGAATATACTAATATTTGAAAGGAGAAATTCTCTTTAAAGTAGGGTAATTGAAAATAATGAATTTTGATCTATAAGTAATAATTTTTGAAGTAATATTGAATACTATATAGTTAATAATACTTTTTAGTGTTAAACTGAAATGAATAATTCTTTTAATAATAATTCATAGTTTTTTTTATTTAAAAAAAAAGATATAATATAAGTGATTATTTTATTATTACTACTCAGTAATCTATTTGCTATATACATCTTGTATGTTAATGTTACATTATATAAAAGTTTCTTGTTGTTAACTTTTATTTTAATAATATAAGCTATTTAAAGAGCTTTTAACCTTAATCTTATTATAAAGCTATTAGGCTTATAACCTATTCACAATAAAGGAGTAGATTAATGGAATGTATGTATTATTGACTATATAGATTAATTATACAGAGGTAAAATCTAACTATGAAGTGGAAGTGATATATGCATAGTAGCTTAGAGTATGTGCCACAACTTCCAACATGTTTGATATTTGCATTGGTTCGGAAAGAGTTTTGTTGATGTGAAGTTCAATACAGATACATTTTTACATAACTGTGTCGGCTAAATATGTATATTTTGCTATATAATACAGTTACACACACTCATTTGACGTAGATAATAACGATCCAAGACTATATGAAGTGATCACATACCATCCACCTCCAGAATCTAATCAAGACAATACACAGCCAGCCTAATATCAACAATCTCCCTTCAAATCAAGATCTCGAATCGTTATAAACATTAACTATAGCATTTCGAAAGATCTTCACTCCTTAACTTTTTATACAAAAAATCCCGAAGTCCTCATCTTGGAAAACGAGGATGTACGTAAGATTACTCAGGTAGGTAAATAGGCAAATTAACCGAACCTGATACATCCATCTATCGAAACATTACCTACAATACTTCTCCTTCTCCGCCGAGCACTAAAGAAGATAACTTACCACAATACAGAACACTATGGATACCTAGGTATACAAATTTGATTACGGAATTTGACTACCCACCTACCTAGAAGTGTACATCTATGCTATTATCTATATGCTCGTCTAAATCTAACTCTATAAGAAGAAAATAGTAAATTTGACCAACTACTTTTTACCTACCAACTGTCACTAACTCGATAAACTTTAGTCAAACTTCTACTCCTAGAATCGAATCTACACGTTGGATTTTCATTACAATAAACACCTAGAATACATCTACCTAGACGGGCACCAGATAGCTTAGCTTCGATATACGAACTCTATTCTGTTTGTTGTATACAAGCAAATGAATACTCAGTACATGAATTCTGGTTTCGAAAATAAGTTAATAACCCCCAAACATTAAACTCCAGATCAAAAGCTCTCGTTTCGATCCAAGGACACCGTTGACACCGTTCCCATACATAATTTATCACTCAGGAAGATCATTTGCTATCAATACCTAACTACTCACTCCATCTCCATTGCAAGGTTCCATTGGATTTTACATTTACTACTAAAAGATAAATTCTCGAATCTACAATAGACCAGTCCAGAAGTTAGAGTATCGAGAGGAATTACTTGTAATTCTTGTATGATAGGTGAGCTCTTGCAGCGAGTATATTTAATGTTCTATCTAGTGATTCTAACACAGACTATGTATGCATAATTATAGGAACCGAGAAATTCGCATCATGACTTTGTGGAGAGAGAAGCTAGTCTGTATTAATTTCCATAATTTCGCCAGACAGTATAAACATCTGCTTGAATTTCTCTTATTGAAATCGAATCTTAGCGCTATCGAATAATTATGCTATCAATCATTCTTATTTTTTATTTCTGCATCAAAGTTCAAACACAGCATTCCCCAATCGCAATAGACTACTCTAAACACCACAAAACAAACCGCTTATGCCCCCTCACAGCCACACCCGAAATACAGATATATAACCACGACAAAGAAGTAGGAGTTAAGATACTCAGATAAATCTTATTTCTCGGTTCTCAATAGTAAATACTGTTGTGAAGAATCCCATCCCGGGTCAATGTCTTCTTCATAGTATATAACGTGTAAATAACCATGTCGTCTAGGTTCCATAAAATCTTCCAAATATACTATTCAGAACATGGAAAGAGTGGGGCTGAATCTGAACTGTTTCGTTGGATGGATATCTCACATCTTTTTCAATAAGGTAGCATGAGCACGAATAAATTGACGCCAAATAAGTTTTGAATCCCTCCCGTCTGCAGCTTGTGATGCAAAAGTGGTACTATAATTGCAAAAGCAGTTGTTTCCTGGGATGTATCTCCTCTGATCAACTTTCAATTCTCCAAATCTGACATCGCTGGATCTTGTGAAGAATTTCATTGTTCGGAAAACCTCTGGAGATGGCAGATAGTAGAATCGAGAAAGATTCCCAATGAGGGAATATCAACAGCTCTCAAAATCCAATATCATTATAGAAGAACATGCGCATACCAGGACTGCTTGAGAAAATATGTGAACTCACGAGGGAGGACACTTTATTTGGGTGAACAAAAGCGCTGTTGGTGTACAGAAGTGAAAAAAAGGAAGACTTCTGATTTAACGTCTATGTAATCAACTGCACTTGATGCCTATTTTCTCTTGTGACGGTATAGAACTCGGTGTTTGATTACTGAATCATCACTGATAGGAGATCGAGCCGTTGGTTCGATTGACGTACTACGATCAATTGAGTGTAAAATATATGGACTAGCAAGTAAGGTTAGTATGCTGAATTAACACCACCAGTGTTGGAAGTGCCAAATATGTCACCTGTCATTGCAGATTCGAGAAACGATACTGTATTTCGTTTACTAGTTACCAACTTCAAGGCGATGAAGATGTCATAAAATGAGAACCCACAACATATCATCACAAATTCAACTGTGAACGGCATTCCAAGCAGACAAAGTATCAGCCCAAATCTCCCAATGGCCAATCTTTCCTTCGTCATCAAACTCACTCAAACGATATATAAACTGTTCATCTCAAGTTCTTCCTGTCTTTAAACTTTTGAAAGTGGCACTTCCGACAACACTAACCACACCTTTCTTCCCCCAAATTTCGCACGTCTCATCGACAATAAAAGATTTGGGTGAAGGAAATGTAGATGGTGAGGGTTGGAACTCAAGGGTTCGAGATAGGATGTTGAAGTAATCATCGCATGTTTGATTATCAGAGAGGCATTTACGACCCGAGAATTTTTTACCTAGAAAAGGAAGTTCCAGATTCTCGGGACCATGTTCTGTGATTCGAGGTGATGAAGAGAAGTGTGAAGATAGGATAATTTCAGGCGAGATTCCGTCGACGAATGCCTGACAGAATGCAATGGCTTCTTTTCTCAATTGCTCCTTGCTGAGAGACATACTATTCAATTCTTGGTATGATAGTTTATGGAGGATTAGAATGACGGATTGACTGTTTTGGCTAGGATTCTTGAAATCGGATGGTGATTGCGGTGAAGCTACTCGATTGTGTGTCGTCTAGTTCAACGCAGGTAGCCTTGAAATGTAATTTGATGCAGTTACCTCGTACGAGCAGACCCCTTGTTGGAAAAAAGCAGTTGCAACACCAATTGCCCACGTAAGGCTTTGGTGAGGATAATACTGGGATTTCCCCGCTCTAGGTCGATGACAACTATCCACATACGAATGCCGAGGTAATATTCGCCACAGTGAAATGATGGGAAGCTAGCCGATCATTGTGAGTGCAAAGGTCGCGCAATTGCTCCCAACGTCGATCAAGCGTACAAGAACGATGTCGAGTTTAGGTTATATCGGCTGTTGAACATACGGAGGTGGTAGGTTCTGGTGTTGATCGACAACTTGTGTTGCTTAGGAAGATGAAATTAGTGCCACGTATATCTTCAGAAATGATGGATGAACCGTGACAAGATTATTGGCATCCCAAATACCTACTGACAAGAACTAGATAGAGGTAACTTGCAAGACTCAGGATCATCTAGATCATCCCAGTATTGACAGCACTTTATGCTGTACAATCTGACTAGGAGAAAGGTAAATGGCTAGATATTTCACAATATCATCATCAAGTATGACAGTGTTGCAATGCCTTTGCAATGTATATGAAGTTTCAGAAAAGTTCCCAGGAGAATCGTTGTTCCCCATTAGACGACAAGCAATTTGGCATCAAAATCAATTAACACATCAACTTTCATGACTTCAAGGATCATCTTGTAGATTTCGGAGATGCGAATGTAAAGCACTGGAAGGTTTAGAAGGTTGGAAGCATTAACTAGCACTCACCATCTTTTCTGAAATCCTCAGAGCTGATGACAAGTAACGGTATCTAGGCCGAGCTAAATGGTTGTTGGTGCTCACAGGGTGTGGAATTAGAATAGTCAAAAGGTTAAGTTCAAGTAATAGGCTATGTTTATAATAAGAAAGTCATTAACTTTATTATCACTCATTATAGTCCTAGAACAAGTTCAATGTAAAAGTACTTAGTAAAGCACTAGAAACATCATGTATCTCTTTTTCTCTTCTAGAAAGAAAACTGGAACTCAACACCGTATAATTCCCTCGGGCTAAAAGGACATACCTTGCTCACTCTACCACTTGACGTTCATCATATTTCATGTTGTTCACTCTTTACTCGGTATATTTGATCATTGACTTTGCCTAGTTGAGTTGTCATCCAAACATCCAAATCACATTAGCATAGCGGTACCTACAAAGTCCCCAAGTACCCCTCAGCACCCCACGGGATTCTTCATCAAACTTAATTACATGTCTAAAATAGTACGCCCCTGAATGTTTGATGCTTGATATCGCAATGCAGAAGGTGGTATGAATGAGATCTTACATCAAAGGTCTCACAATTACTCGGATAGGAAATAATATAGTTAATCCTCATATTGATTTTCCATGCATGTCGCCACTGTCAAATATGTCAACGTCTACCTAGGTAATTGTCTAGGTCTACTATGTCTAGACCAAAATTTACAACACATCATCCGAAGATTTCTTATTTTACGCCCAGTTTCAGTGTAAATCAAGTATAAAATGGCTATTAATACCTCTTACCTCTTACATATGGGCCCTTAATAAGGTTGTTATGGCTCAATATTAAGATTTTACGAACAGGCCGTCATGCATTGATTGGGCTTTTTTTAACGCGTTTATGCCCAACCAGCCACTCGGTAAGAGAGTATATATCGATTAATTATATGATTGATGTCGAATCAGAGAACACTACAACAACGTTCCCCGGTACAGCAGTTACTAACAATACCAATCAACACCAATACCAGTCAATACCAATCCCAATGATTCAAATGATACAATGGGGTTCTATCGTTTCCATCCTCTCCCTTACCATTCGTCAACCTGGGGGGCCGAGAAAGCCTCATACGATCATACCATTGTTGATAGACGCCCCGTCACCGCCCCGGAGATCTCTTCTTCTCCATACATACCAAGGGCTTTCCTTGTCCCATCTTCCACCCACTCTCCGAACTCCCCATACTTTTTATGCCATTCGACTTTCTACCTACTCTTTTTTGGCGCTTGCCACGCTTGAGATCGGTGGTTGGTGTCGGCATTGGTTCTCTCCCAGGTACCTCTTACATACTTAACAATTTTACTTTATGCTCTCGTCACACCTTGTTCGAGATCAAGACTGGACATACATTGCCCAATAATGCCTAATGCAGCCACAAAGTACTCCGTATACCGAACAGCACAGCGGGCAACATCCCACTGGCTCCGAGGTCTGTCCTTGCCAATACCCTCTGGCTGGTCGCATCGCATTTCGCGATAAGATTTCTAACGTAGCCTTTGCGGAAAGAGAATGAGCGGCGTCGATCTCTGAGCACCGAGTAACTTTGTTTTGAGGGAGCATCCTTACCAAATTCTTGACAATGCACTTCTTGGGGGCCAGAACACCAATCTTCCATCTGGAAACTGGCTTTCCCGGTAGACGGGAGATTCTCAACAATTCTCATAGATTCAAAGATGCGAGAATTCAAGATTATTGGGAGCACAAGAATCCCCAATGCAGTTCAAATCATTGTTCATCCTAGGTCATAGCTTCCTGATTTCTACCGGGTATGTTTCTTGATTGCCCTATCAGTGCTTGGAGGGTCTCGGAGATTTATTGTTTGATATGTCCAATCTTTACGGTGAAGCTTCGAGTGAGCTTCAGCTGTATAAACCATGAATGTTTGTCTATATAATAATCGACTTCCCGCCTACCTCTTCTTCCCTTTTCCCCCATCAGATCAGCTCAATTGATAGCATAAAAGCTTTGTTGTTTCAAAAACCATAAAACCCTTGGATCACCTGGCATACTCACCGCCCCTGTTCCTGGATCTGGATATCCTTGCTGGACCCATTAATTAAATCGTGGACAATCAATCTATGATACCAATATTGGAGCCATTTTGCATTTAATTGTCATCCGACAAAGAAGGACCTATCTCTAATTTCCATCTCATTTCTTTCTCATATTGTATCGTACAAGTATCAAGTTTCCTCTTGACTTGGGATTTGGACCTGGAATTAAAACTTGATATCTCAAAATGATGGCATCCAGAAGAAGTATTCACATCCAACCGGAATTTAGTTATGGACGAACGATTCCTACGAGTCTTCCGGATTCGTCGAGAAGGTATGCGACAAATTTGCAAATTTACATGATAGAGAGCTAACCAGCAAGGACCACATATTCCACCGGCAATCGCGCGAGTTTCGACGGTGGCTTTTATCCAAACACCAGGTAAGGACGCATGTATCCCAGATTCGGAACTAAGGAAGCTGAAAATCAACCTCAAAGCGCATCATATGCCCCGGATCTAAGTGTCTCGTCTTACAACCCTATCGCTGCACCCATGACCTCGAGTCCTCTAGCCCGCCCGGACTCAATTTATGGATCGAATGCTTACAGCGCTGGCCCATCATCAAATGTATATGGAACCGCAGGACCAAGTTATGGTTCTTACACAAGCCAAGGTCCAAGTTGGGAGCCTCAAGGCAGAGTCTCGCCTGAGACGTATATGGACGATTATGCTGCATCTCCCAGCCCAACGGATTACACGCTAGACTCCGTCAATCGGTCATCCGGAAAAGCAAGAAGTGACGGAAAAGGCCATTCTCAAAGACGACCATCTAATAGGGATGAATTTGATGGACCACATCAATTCTTACAACGACCACCCCCGGAATACATTGCCCAGCAGGAGAGAGATTTGCCGCATCTTCCCACAAACCTTGTGGTACAGGAACAGGATAGTGTCCTAAATAGAGTCAATGACCGGTTGTCACAGTGTGCTTTTGACTTTGTGGCCAAGTACCAGTTTCCTATTCCTCTAAGTGACAGCTGTCGACCTGTGGAACGACCCCAAGATCGTGAATGGACGGAGTGGGTGTACCTTCTCAAACGTCTCGCAACCAAGAGACGCATACCGGCCCGGGTATTATATAATGGCCAGATAAAACAATTTGTTACCATATTGGAAAATAGCCTGGAAATGAGGCATGCTGCAAAGCATCAATCACGCCCATTAAAGGATGATAGGAATATCCTCCAGCTAATTTCCGCCGGGATTCAGGTAGCTAAAATATTGAAGGATGCGGAAGCTATGTCTTACCTAGACCGATTATACGTTACGACAGAACAGCAGATTCAGGAAAGGAGTGCAAGCCGCTTTCGTCCTTGATTTCATACCAGAGGGATTTTGCCTCGGCTAATGACTTGACGACTTTTATGTTGTATGTTACCCACATTTAGGCGTTGGCTGGCTATCTTTGGGCAAAATTTTAGGTGGACGGACGGATCCATTTCTACTCTGACACAGCCCTGCTTTGATTATTACGGGCGTTTTTTTGTCTATTTTTGTATGTTATTTTTTTGTGCTTGGAGCCTGATGGGCGTGCGATCCGGAATGGATATCACGATAATAGGATAAATGCACCTGGCGAATTATCACTACACCCGAGAAATTAGGAGCCCGCTATCCATAAGCCCTGTGCCATGGGGATCTACAAATCGGGAGTCTCAGATGATACGCGCACAATACTGGAAGTCTCGGTGGGTTTGCATCGCGAAGGGAACAGAATTTATAAAAACTTACTTCTTCGGGCTGTCGCTGACATGTTTCTTTGGGGGCATTTATGATGAATGGATGAATGATTGAATGATAGATGGATGGATGGAGGAATGGAAATTCACATTTGGAAGTGGCAGGAATAGCACACCACATCACTTCGCATCACATCCTTGGAATTGTATATCCGCATGTATATGCATTGTCTAAGCACTATACTACGAAAGGAAGCGAATCCGGGCGTTTTAGGATTTTTGTGGAAAATTTTACGGGAGGGGATGGGATGGGATGGGATGAAATAGGGCTTATTTAGCTAGCTACCTATCGCGCCGGGTTTTTATATGTTAGTTATATGGTATTTGTTGCTTGCTTGTTGATTACTTGCTGCATGTATGTATTTTATGTATTGTATTGTCTTGTATTATCATATTAGATTATCTTTGTAGTATTGTTGTTATTGTTGTTTTTTGCTGTGGGAAATGTAGGGAAGAGGGAAGAGAGTGGAGCGTGTGTGTGTATATGTATTCTTGGGGATCGGAGATTGGGAATTGAAAGCTTATGTGTGGTGTATTCATGTATTTATTTTATCTATATGGATTATTTAAATTGGATTTTGAGCGTGGTCATTGGATTCGATGTGATTTGGATGTGATGTGATGAGCTAGCTAGCTACCTAGCTATTCGCAGAGTTTGTTTGAACTTTGAGAGAGGGAAAGAGGGGGGAAGTGATACCCCGGCATTTCATTCTCTGAAGATTTCATATTTTTAAGAGTATCAAGAAAATGAAATGAAGTGGAAAGTAGAGAAAGTAGAGAATGTATAGCGGTCTTGGGGTTGGGAGGGGGGGAAAAGGGGGAATGGGGAGAGAGTATGTGAGGTGTGAAGGAGAAAGGGAGAAGAGAGGAGAGAGGAGAGGAGGGGGTAAATGTAAGGAGGTAGGTAGGTAGGTAGGTAGGTAGGTAGGTGTACTAAGAACTTACATTATTATAGAGTGAAGTATTGAAGCGATTGAAGCCATTTTATGATGTTTTAGACTAGTGGGGAATGGGAAAGTGTAGATATGACTTTGTATAGATATGTAGGTATATATGTAGTGGTTGAGTGAGAATGGATGAGTACTAGTGGATGATTCTTTTTAGAGTACCTAGGCAGGTTTATAGGGTTTATGGATAGGTATTAGGTATCTAGTAAAAGTTATGTGGGCGTGGGTTTTCTGTTTGTGATTTCCATTACTATTAGATGTACGGACTAACAGAACCCTTCTCAACCCTCAAAATCTACAGCAAATTTAGTTTGATTTCTTTGATTTCAGAATTTAAAATCTATTCTTCAATCAATAATAAACCAAGTTCTCAAATCTCAAAAAATCAAAATTAACACTTCACTAAATATCAAAGTCGAATGCAAACCTCCACTACATCTCATTCCCATCCTTTCATACCCCCCTTCATCTACCAAAAACATATATATATATACTTATTTATTATTGATTCACAAAGTCACCCACTACGAACCACACATCCTATCTCGAAAATGATCAGATCCGCAGCTTTTTCGGCGATTCCATAAACAGCCATTTGAGGATGTCCTCCGATGAGAGAGGGAGTCACGCTTGCATCTGCGACTCGAAGATCAGTGATCCCGCGCACTTTTAGTTTTGAGTCTAGGACGGCGAAGGGATCGTTGGGGTGACCCATTTTACATGTTCCGGCGGGGTGGTAGCCTAGGGAATGGGGGTTAGAGTTGGTTGGGTGGCGATTGTAGATGAATGGATTGCAGATGGATGGATGGGTGGGTGTTGAGAGAAGGGGGTATGAATTCTGGAAACAGGCCATTCACATGCATCTGCATTAGATCTGATAACCAACACCCACTATTCTCGAGTAGTAAACGTGTGATGATTTCTAGATCGTGGCCAGGATCCACTCACGATATCTTTCGTCCCTGCCCCCTTCATTGCAATTTCAGTCGCCATGCAACATCCCTCACTGAATACGAGCATATCGAAGGGATCTTCGAGATACCGATGATTCACGACAGGGTTTTCCGTAGGGTCACTTGACTTGAAACTGACTTCACCTCATGATCGTGGTGCGAAGAATTCCGTAGCCATTGCAAACGCATACTTGCCATCTGGGGGGAAGTTCCTGAACATGTAATTTGGGCTGTAGCATTCTGTGTTCCAGAATTCGACGCGGGGTTGGGTAGGTGAGAGACTCATTTGATCGAGATCTTTGGTGCGGGGAGCAGAGTTCCAGAGGGGAGAATCGGAGAGTCTGGAGTCGAGACGAGCGAATGCGAAAGTTCCAAATGGGAATTGTGAAAAGAAGCCCGGTTTATCGGTTTGGTATTCAGTTAAGGATTTGGACTTTCCTTTCGTGTGCCAGATGAGATGGTCATTGGTGAGAGCTGGCGTGGAAACTTCGTAGAATGAAAGAACAACCTGGTTTTGAATTAGACACAAAGCAAGTCTTGCGAGGAGAGAAATAGTATCCCGAGTAATTCATAAGTGAATGTGGCTGGACGCTCCGAACACATAGAAAAGTATGCTTACCAAATGATCCATCAAGTTCTTTCCGACACCTGGGGGATCAACTTGGCTCTGGATTCCAAGCTTTTCAACTTCTTGCTTGGAGCTGATTCCAGATCGGAGAAGAATTCCTAGACTTCCATAGGTTCCTGCTGAGATGATTACTTCTTTGCGGGCTTTTACGAAAGATTTCTGGCCGGTATTGTCTTGCAGGAATACGCCGTTGGCTCGTAGCGCACCAGATTTATCAGTTTTGAGGTTGATGCGATCGTTATAAGTGTTTGTTTTGATTGAGATGTCCGAATTTTTCATAGGACTTGTGATGTAATCTGTAGACATAGTACGAGTACCTTGGGAGGCGGTTCGAACAACATGTCCACAACCATGAGCACTTTTGCAGGTACTAAACATATCTGGAATCAAGGTTACGCCCATTGATTGATATGATTCGAGCACGAGATTTGAAACTGGTGCTGGATCGTGGGGAGATGTGATGATGGGACCAGTGCATCAACGGGCATCTTTCTCGGAGTCGAACAAGGGCTTGTTGTGGAATGTTTCGGCCTAGGGGATGTTGGTTACAGATGGTTATGACCTTTTTGCTCGAGGAAACAAGATAAATGCAAATGGGATTGAAGCATAGATAAAAAAGCTCCAATCAATAATTGATAAGTCCGTACCTTCGACATATATCCAAACATCTCATCTCCACTGCACCCCTCAAGACCTCAATTATCATAATCTTGCCGATTCCCACGAATCCACAATCTTCCATTACAACCGCTGCTCCCATCAAGAAACCTTCCCTTCAACATTAGATCTCACAAGCCAAATTTCGAACATTCACAAATTTACTTTCCCCTCGCAAGATGCAGTTGACGATTTTGGTTAAACATGGGTGTTTGCCGTTACCTGAGTCCTGTATACGTGCTCATGAAAGCATTTTGGGGATCTTTTTTCGTGAGAGTTTCCTTCACATAGAGAACGTCTCGACAGACATTATCTAAAGGGACAACGCATTCTCGATCTAAAGTACTCGAGTAGCAACAAGTGATATATTGCTTCTCTGTCTCTGCCTTTTGACCAGTCACACAATTCACCACCTTAGTCACTATCATGATAATAACCCATGTTCTATTGCAAAATATGACATTTCTTTCTCCTGGTACTGCAAGCCTTTCGGGTAATGGCCAGATCTCGCTTCAGGACTACTACTACTACTACTACTACTACTATTCCAATTGCGAAAACAAGAAGTGTGCTCCTCTGCCGAGCGCTCCAAGCGAGTCTCACTTTTACATTGTGTACCTTATTGTATTCTCCTATCTGCATGTCCGGGCAAGAAAATAATTATGCCTTGCGTGAAATTAATGTTCGCTATACAATACTAATTTTTCTCAGATAGGGAGTAAGAGAAGGCATCTTGGAGCAGCAGGGCGGAAGTACTTATTCCAACATAATATATACACACGTTTAGATTTCTCACCGAGACTATCAAACAAAACAAACCATAGAGAGGGGGCCTTTGAATAAACATGCTCAGAAATAGACTTCTGGACACCTTCTATAAACATGCCAATGCTATTTTTGAAAGAAAAATCTGACACGGTGGCTGTTGCCTCTATCATCAAACTTGGTAGAATTAATTTGCTCAAACTCTTAACTATAACATAGTACCCCAGATTCCGTATCAATAATGTCCTTGACTTCAATATCGGCAATAAGTTCTCCCATAAGCAGAAGATCTTTGATCGAGGCCTTCTCAAGCGATTTAAACGCTGAAACACCTCGGTACTGATACAAACGATTCTGTATATTCTTCTGCTGCCACAACCACCAAAGTCGATCAAGCTGCGTATGATGAAGAAAGAAAACAGGATCTAGACAGAAGTGAGCAAGTGCATTGATTCAATGAAAGGGCTCAACGCAGAAAGATCACTCACCATATGGAGCAGTAAACATCGAGAAGTCTCCTCTAACCATATGAGGAATTGAAGCATGTGCAGTATTTTCAAGACCCAGGTTAAATTGCTCATAATCATCTGTATCCATCAACTGATCCAGCATGTAAGGCTGGAGCTTCAATGATTCCGGACTGTTGGTTGTGTTGAAGGAGCGCCCCATAATTATCTGCAATTAAAATCTGAAAACAGTGGGTCCGGTAGCCCCATCTTCTGGAGAAGATCTTAAGAAATGCATTTTGTGTGCATATATTAAATCTTGGCAATCTTCCTGGGAAGTAGGGACTAGAGATTAGAGTATGCATGAATCTGGGGGTTTGGGGAAAATGAAACATCATGATAAGTGTTCTGGGGGTTAGACTTATCCCGCATCATGATCAGCAGGACTAGGGTGCGTAGACAGCTCAGTGTGGTACCGTGTCTCCCTACAATCCCAGATTAAGATCTGGGAAAAAAATTGTTTCTCTCTAGCGAAAAGCGGTAGACTCCCGCATCTGATAAAAAGAACGATGCACATCAATGCTTTGCTGTAACTTTTGGCAGAAGAGAGCGATCACGGTCTCAGTATCGTAAGACATGAGCATCAAGTCAGTGACTGTTGTATTGCATGTGTTCCAATACGTGAGTCTTCGCAGTATGCATGAATTCGAGTATCCAAGTCTTCACACCATGACATTCATTGTGTGATAAACAGTAAAACATGCTGACTTACTGGCAGCATGCTGTCTTGCAGAGACGCGGCACTGAAAGACTTCCTCCAACTAATCGACAATTTTACACCGCCCAATCTATCATATATAGAGCTCTTCGAACTGCAAGTAAGATAACATCACTTTTCATTTAAGACAAATCCATTGATCTAACTGACCAACGGCACAACTACCAAAATTCGCTTTATTTCACTTGAACACTTCAATCGGATTCTAAACAAATTTTCACACTTTTAACATCTCCCTAACAAAGTCGACTAGTATTTACTATGTATTACTCAAAGCTCATGATCATTGCCTTCGTCCGCTATGCCTTAGGACGTGCGATTTGTAAGTATATATAAACCACTCTTGAAATTTGAACATACTCGGAGACACAGAACAGTACTCGAGAATCCTTCTTCTCCCTCTGAGAGAGACGATGATGCCCTAACATTGTCGTTAGAAGAGACGCTCATAGACTTCAAGAGGGGTGTTAATGTTGTGAATACCAAAAGAGATGATGAGGCCGTAGACTCCAAGAGAGGTGTTAAAATTGTTGACACCAAAAGAAATGATGGAGACATCAAGCGGGACGAAGAAATTACCAAGCGGGAGGAGGATATCACCAAACGAGACGAAGCTATTACAGAAAAAAAAAATAACAACGGCGGAGACTACAAACGAAACAATAGCGGGGACTACAAACGAGACGAAGCTATCGCAGAAGAAAACAGAAACAACGGCGGAGAAGATGAGAGGGCTGGCGATATTGCGGGCCATAACTGAAGGAATGGAATTGATCGGGCTGAGCAAAGTAGAAATGAGAAAAAAACTGAAAGCGTCCGATGTTGAAAATAGCACTGAATATTTCGATCTAGAAAACTGTTTCTCGAGCTCTTTTGAATTTGAATTTGAATTTGAATGTATTGTTTGTGCTATCATCCGGAATCCATGTGCACTAGCCCATTCTCGGAACGAAGGCACAGTGTCCGATCTCACTCCGCGTAGTTGTATCAGATTGTCGGATGGTCCTTCTAGATCTGCTATGCTTCTTCGCCGCAATAGACTTGGGATGAGTTTCAATTATTCCTTTATTACACGAACGTGGCATCGACGGGGTAGATGCTAGCACACAGCCTTTGATCTACCACTAAGCCGATCATTTCGCACACACAGACCAGTCCTTGACATCTACGCATGTTATATGTAGGAAGCTTCCCATCTTATGGTTCGAAGATTACTAATTTGATCGTGAAATCTTAGTTGAATGCATGTAATTGAGATCAAAAATGACAAGTGAAGTGACAAGTGTTCGTGGAGCTGAAGCTCTCGCAATCGCAGCGCGCATTGTGTTGTGGGGTATGCTGAGAGCTAATCAATATTGCTTACATAAACTACTTGGAGACTCATCTGCCCTTCATTTTCGAGGTTGGGATATTCCGTAGGTATGTTTATACTATACAAACATAATATGCAGCAACCCATTGAAGATGCTTCCAAGGTGCTTAGGTATCGACAACTTGTTTCGGTCTCATAAAATGCTTTGATTTTACATGCCAGGCACTGTGTTGCATCTGTTTCTGGCCTTCTAATATCGGAAAAGTACAACGATTCATGACCTGCCGGCTGAACACTCTACTCTTTGCTTCGAAATCGATATTGGTGACAGAAGGTTGTCCCAGAGTGAGACTATCATCAATGTCATTAGAGACAAAGTTGCGTGAAGAATTCACGAGTTCATTCTTGGGAACAAACTGATAAACGTGTCTCGGGTGACGCTGGCTGCAAAATTTGAGCCTGATGGGTGTTTTTGTTGACTGTCTTAATTAATCGTGTGTGGTTTGCAAGTCGCAGATAAAAAGGGTTGCCAGGCTTTACTAGGCTCAAGGAAGCCATATAATTGCTCTTATACTCATATCTGGTACTTAAGTTTTGATTCATTAAATAGCGAATGATCGATTATCGAATTTTTTAAGCATATAAAATGATAGTAATGATTATTCAATCTCGTTCTAAGATTCAATCTCGCTTTTAGCTCCATGCTTGGATTCAGTATCTCATCGTCCCAAGACCTTTTTGCAATGAATATCATCAACTTCATCACAAACATGAATTTTCTTAGAAGCATTCCGAGTTGAGGATTGGGCTGCAATACTTCTTTACAGGTGTGTATCACGTCATCATGAAAATAAGACTCTCATTTTGATTTTGTGAAGTCTCTTTTATGCTAACAACCATCTAGCTTGCCCTAGTAAAACTGTTACTTTGTAGTCTTCTTTGCAACTTGGAGCGTATTTCTTGAATAGTTCGAATTATTGGATTGAGTTTCTCACGTATCTATACACACAAATGTCCCGTCAGATCTCCTGGATAGACGTCCCGACTCTCATATTCACGTCATTCACTTCCTTTTGCAAGTCTTGGCTTTTATATCATTCAATGCATTCTCCTTATCTTAATAGTCCCGAGAACAGGTGACCAGAAGGTCTATTCCACAGGTTCTTGGCTCAATTCGAAGCCTTTGGTCACCATGTGATCTCCCAGTGGATTCTCCATTCTCTTCTTTCACTTCCAGTGGCCAGCCATATTATCAATAGCCAAGCAGTATTATTCACTAAGATTTCACAATAAATCGTATCACGTATAGCAACGCTTGGATATCACCGAGGTGTCCAGAGAAATGATCTCTTCATTGACTTTGAACTATTCAACTTGAGCCTAGGTTTGATGAAACCAAATAAAAGAGAATATCAGTTCCCCTCAATTGAATGAATATTAGGGCCTCGTTCCTTCAATTTAGATATTACTATATAATTTTGTCTAATATGTTTACGCCATGTGGGAGGGAGAAGAAATTTGAGGTATTTTGAAGTTCCAACAGATGAGATTGGGGATCAAGGCATACTACTTCGCTTATGATTTTAAGACTGCACAGTATTGCTTCGACTATATAGTGTCTACTACCTCGCTTATTGGTTAAAGCTAGCCTGCAGTGGATGTGCTATCATCCCTTGCCCATTGTGTTTCTGCAGAAGGAGCTTCGAAGTTCTCCATTCAAAGTGAAGAGATAGTCTCTGAGCTAGATATGATCCTCTGAAAGAATGCGCATGTTTTGAAGAGGTAGACTGCTATGAGAATTGGTACTAGCGCCATCCATTCGCTCTTAGTGTGGAAAATCTTGGCATATTCACTGAAGCCGTTTAAACTAGCTCATTTAAAATTGCAGCGAGTAATCTAATAATGAGACTCGGTCCATGACATGGAACCTCCAGCCAGCTACATTAATAACACCTAGAGACGCTCTATAGGTTTCCAAAAATCCCTTTCTTAGCGCCAACTGACTGCCACATTCTCAAATCTTTCATACCCCTACTTTTTAATTGATTTTCAGGTTGTTCCACACTCATCTAGTTTGCATACAACTCTTACAATTCCTCATTTCTTTGCACTTCGTTTGATACTTTACAAATCTTCTAACCTCGCCTGGCGGAAAGATGTCGTTTCTCAATCAGTACTTCGTTATGAGTCTTCCGGGCTGGCGTCTTCTTATTTTTGCTTGCTACATGATAATTGGCATTAAAGTTACTAAATTCTTCATCGACCTATTCCGAGTTCGTCGCAAGTTTCAACGTATGCAAAGAGATGGCTTGGTAAGTTATTGCTGATATCCATCTCGCCGTTTATGACCCTCCAGCTAATCACGTCTCGAAGACAATGCCTCCGCATCATCCTCTTTTTGGCCATTTGAAATTGATTGGCGAAATCGTATCTCAATTGCCCAGCGATGTCCATCGTCACGTTCTCCCACATCAGATCAAACTCCTCTATCCTAACCTTGGCCCGTTGTTCTACCTCGATACATGGCCCTTTGGCGGTGAAATTTTGGTAGCTGTAGGTCCGGATGCAGCTTACCAGATGACTCAATCACACCCGCTACCCAAGTTTCATGCCATGCGTGAATATCTGAAGCCTATGACAGGCGGAAATGACTTGGTCTCAATGGAAGGCAAAGAATGGAGAAAATGGAGAACTATTTTCAATCCGGGCTTCAGCGCTGGTCATCTGATGACTCTGGTTCCTGATATGATGAAAGACATGTCCGTATTCTGCGAGATTCTGAGAAAAGCGGCTGCAAACTCGGATATTGTCATTATGGACCATTTGACGACTAGATTGAACCTGGATATCATCAGCCGAATGGCTCTGTAAGTAGACCCAGGATTCGAGTTCCTCAGACTAGTTCCTAACACGCTTAGGGACACACACTTGAATTCACAGCTTGAGACAAATGATTTTGTATCTGCTTTGCTCAGTCAACTCGATTGGTTGTCATTTGGTCACGAAGTCAATCCATTTCAACGATATAATCCTATTCGCCCTCTTGTCAACTGGTGGAACGGTCGGCGAATGGTAAAATATATCTGGAGAGAGTTGGATATGCGTTTGAGGCGCCGAAACATTGTCAACAAAGGCACCCAAATCACTAGCAGCAAATCAATCATTGACCTCGCTTTAGATAATTATCTTGCTAGCAAGCCTAGAGACAGCACTATTAACGCTATGGATACCGCTTTTAGAGACATCGCTACATCTCAATTAAGAGTTTTCATTTTCGCCGGCCACGATACAACAAGTAGTACCATGTGCTATGCTCTCCATCTACTTTGGACCAATCCCAGGACCCGCCAATTGTTGATTGCTGAGCATAATATGATCCTAGGCCGGGACCACAAGGAAGCCGCAAGAAAAATCGCAGATGATCCTTACATCTTGAACAAACTTCCTTACACCATGGCCGTTACAAAAGAGACCCTCCGATTGTACCCCTCTGCTTCCACAGCTCGTAGCGGTGAAACCGGCTACTTCATGTCAGGAACCGATGGCCTTCAATACCCCACAGAAGGATTCATGGTCTGGTCAAATTCACACGCTATCCAACGTGATCCTGCTTACTGGCCCGAACCAAGCGAATTCATTCCAGAGCGTTGGCTCGTTGAAGAAGGACACCGTCTCTACCCTAAGAAAGGCACCTTTCGTCCATTTGAATTCGGACCTCGTAAATGCATTGGACAGGAACTTGCGATGTTGGAAATGAAGATTTTTCTTGTATTGACTGGAAGAGAGTTTGAAATTAAAACTGTGTATGAGGAGTGGGATGGTCTTCATGCGAAGACGGGTATCAGAACTGTTGAAGGAGATAGAGCGTATCAGATTTTGTCTGGGGCTGCTCATCCGAGTGAAGGTCTTCCGTGTAGAGTTAAATTGGTTGGAAACTGAAAGTCTTGGGAATGAGATCATGAAACATCAATACTTGGGATGATGGGAATGATTTGGCGCGACAGAGACTTTTATGTCTGGAACTTATTATGCAGCTTTGATGGGACTGCTATTACTACTGAGAACCATCGGAAAAAAACAGCGAGTTTCGGAAGCTGTGATACAACTTAAGATTCAAAACTTATACTTTGAGTATAAGTCAACTACCCCACTTTCCGACCACCCCCTCTTTTCGACCACCTCAAAAACCACACCGCTTTGAGTAATTATAAAATTTATACTTTGAATAACTCAACAATGCTTTAATCAATTGATTTGAAATTTTGATATTATTATAATTGTGATATGAAGAATAGATATACCGAAGAAGATATCGCAGAGGCTCTTAGAGCGATTACAAATGGAGCAAGCATACGAAGAGCTAGCTTGGATTATGGTGTTCCACGTACCACACTTCACGATCGAATATATGGTGGAGTTTCGCATCAAAAAGGCGCCCAAATACTTCAAAAGTTATCTCCAATTCAGGAGAATCGACTAGCAGAATGGATATTAGTACAGGAAGCTCTTGGTACTAGCCCTACACATCGTCAAATCAGAGAGATGGCAGAGCACCTCCTTATTGTACGAGGGGAGGATCCCTCACTTGGAAAGAAATGGATACATAGCTTTTTTCGAAGGCATCCTAATATTGGAACTAAGAAGCAACATCAAATCGATTCTGCACGAGTTTCAGGTGCTACATCTGATATTATTAAGAAGTGGTTCCGGAACCTCGCAATCCCTGAAATCAAGGCTATTAAGCCGGCCAACAGATGGAATATGGATGAAGCAGGTATAATGGAGGGTCAGGGTCTTAATGGACTAGTAGTAGGAAGCACTGATCGAAGATTTATTCAAAAAAAGCAACCTGGATCTCGAATTTGGACCTCTTTTATAGAATGCATTTCAGCCAATGGAAAAAGCATTACTCCCCTTGTAATATATAAGGGAAAATCAGTTCAACAACAATGGTTTCCAACAGATTTGACTCTATTCAAGGGTTGGAACTTTACCGCTACAGAAAATGGATGGACTACAGATGCTACAGCTTTAGAATGGCTGAAAAAGATCTATATCCCTCAAACTACCCCTATTCAGCCGGAAAATTCAAGACTCCTCATTTTGGACGGACACGGAAGCCATGAAACTACAGCATTTATGTTAGAATGCTTTAATAACAACATATATCTCTTATTTCTCCCACCACATACGTCACACGTACTACAACCACTCGATTTATCTGTGTTCTCACCCCTAAAAAGTGCATATCGAATCGAACTTAATAAATTAAGTCTATTATCCGATTCCTCACCAATTGGAAAGCGCAATTTCCTTTCTTGCTATCAGAAGGCTAGAATAGAAGGTTTAACTATTCAAAATATCAAGTCTGGGTGGCAAGCTAGTGGTCTTTGGCCCAAAAATATGGCTAAACCTCTTATGAGTCGACTTTTGCTTGAAAATAGCAATAGAGAGGTTTTATCACTTAATCCTGAATCTGATGATGATCCTATTCTTCAATGGAATATATATTCATCGTTTATTCAATGGAAAACCCCTCAAAAAGGAGCCGATATCAGAAAATATAGAGATATAATGATTCAAGAGAAGGAGATCGATTTGCCAACACGAAGATTACTATTTCGCAAGATTATAAAAGGATTCGATGCTAAGGATTATGAACTCTTAGAGGCAGAGAATAAGATTAGAAAGCTAGAATATCAATTAGATGAAGCATTACCTAGAAAAAGGCGAAAGGTTGTGGTATCTCCAAATTCGAAGTTCGCAGGGATTAGAGCTATAAGGCGTACACAAATTGAAGCTGGAGATCGTGAAGATGAGGTAGATGATAGCTCTAGTGCTATAGAAAGTGATTCTACAGGCGATTTCATTGAAGTTCAATAGTTATTGAGTTATTAAAGTTTTAAGTGTAGATAATATGAATTTTTTAGGTGGTCGGAAACAGGGGGTGGTCGGAAAGTGGGGTAGTTGACTTAATCAATAAAAATAATACCTATAGTTGATTTTCTTGATGATGATGATATATGCATAGACCTTGCCCTTTTCAATCTTTGAACGGTGCGTGAATAGAGTAATTTACCTTGACATCATCTTTCTTTCTTCCATTCATATTGTCTTGACTTAAAGTTTAATTTGCTGTTCTTATGTGACTAAAATCATGACGCCTCCACCCGTTTGAACAAATTCTCCCGTCCTAGCCACTCACTCACTCATCATTGTTAAAGAATTAAATGATCTCCTATTGTTATATCAATACTAATCCCTCTTCCAATGAACAGCGCCCAAAGGAAAGGAGGGTCTGTGGTAGAATTTGTCAGTATATCATCTGTTTTTGTTTCTAAGGGGTGTCTGAAGGAATCAATTTGTGAACCATCTACCAAATTCTCATGATGTTTATTGTTTCTAGCTAGGTATATGAGTTATTCTATTCAATAAATTGTGAAAAGAAGGGGTAATCACTGAGTAATAAACCCCAAAAGAATGCAATTACATCAGTTACATCATTGATCATTGATCTATGACGTAATCCATCCCTATAAAACAGATTTGGCGAGTTTATTAACAACATCTAGAACTTCAAGTTTTGGGTTGTTTTCATAGGATAATTATATCATTTTCATCTGCGGAGTGGAATTCTACATTCACACGGTCTGTTTGTAGGACAAAAAACCAGACTCAAACTGACTACTAGTGAAATCTTTGAACAATCCAAATATTCTTTTTCAATTTGGGAAATCAAAAAATCAAGTAGGTAGTATCATAGCTGAAGGCTGTTCAAGTGTTTATTTAGTTATTTGTATTTGGTCTATTGCAGAAAATATCGGGTTGATCAATTTCTGCCTCTCTTTTCTCTTATTCTCGGCTATCCATCTCATTTAGTAAGGGTCGCATCTCGAGAGGCGAGAGGTAGGTATCAAGAAAGTCATGGTAAAAAGAATCTAATTTTCAAAAGATCTCGTATCTTTCAAACAGCAACTAACATAAAGTTCAGGCTTGAGGAAAATCCCAATTATCCACAAATTTCCCATCCCGCGCAACATCATCATCCCACCTCAACCCATCAGCAACCCCCTACCTCCCCACCCCCTCAACCTTCACCGCCTTTCCACTCCTCAAATTCCACACCACAACCGAATCCTCATCTTCAGCCTGCACCACATCATTTCCCTGCAAAAAACACCAACGCTGTCTACCCCCCTGCACACCACCATACAAGTTCAACTCAGACGTAACTCCCAGAACCTCTCCTTCGCGGTACAGAGCTTTCCAAATTGGAATTCTCAGACCATTTGCTAGACCCCAGCAATCTTTACACATGCTGGCATGGCTTGCTACTTTGATGGTGATGGCGTGTTCGCAGGGATGGTACCATTTGTTTGATTGGATGGCTTTGGTGCAACGTTCGATTTCGAAGAGGGAGGGTTCCGGACAATTTTGACAGGTGAAGGATACTCGGATGCAGTAGTCTGATGAGGGGGGGGGTGATGATGGGGAGTTGGGGGTTAGGAGTAAGGGCGGTCATTGTTGAGAGAGGATGTATGATAGTTGGGTTTGGAAAGTGTGTTGAGGGGTTTGAGATTCGTGTAAGAGAGGTGTGTATACGATTGAGCTATATCGACAGCTTATATAAAGTATTCTCTGGGATTCTCCCAAATACTCCATGCTAACTGAGCCGTATTTAAATTTCTGCATTTTCCCAGCGATGTACAAGATGCATCGTGATTGTCGTACAGTGACTGAGTGCGAGTGAATGGAACCTCTAGCTAATCATTTACTTTCGAAGATGGAACTGCCATTGATGATTCAATATGACGTAAAATCATCTCGGTAATATATATCAAGAATTTGGTGGATACGAAAAGTCAATAAGAAAATATAGCTTCAAGCTTTTTTTTTGTTCTCTCGGGGAAATGACTCCACATGAATGGTTATTACAATAAAGTTCCTATGAATGAAATTCATTATGAGCCAACGATTTTTGAGTCAAAGATCTCAACCAAGTATCACAAGGTGCATAGACCATAGGAAGAAAGAACGATACCTATTTGCAACCTCATGAATGTTCTGAGACTCTATTCATCAGTGCAATCACTTGTAGAATTTAAAACTAACATGAGATTTAGCACATTTGTGCCGTCTCGAATGCATGATATAATTACGCCTGTTCTCCGTACGATCTTCTGTGACCAGCTCTTAATTGTTCTTTCTCCTTCCTCAACGATAGCCATTGTGCTACCAAATTAGACCACTCGGATCTTGTTGCCGCTAGGAAGTCCACTAGAGCTCCATGGAAAGATGGTTTAATCAGAGGCGAGAGTATCACTTAAAGGGCCTGTCTAATCACTCTCGTGCAGGACTCTATCAAAAGGACAGTCTCTCTAAAAATCTTGGACTATAATATGAATTCGAGAAGTTTTCGTGGTTAGAAGAGATAATATATAAGAAGGAAAATGGATTGTAGCGGAAAGATAGCCTTTTGTTGGAATTTATGTTAAAATTTAAATGAGGCCACCACGAATGGTTTTAAGCCGGTCGTGAACCAAGCACACAGGGAAAGAACATCGATTTATAAACGAAACTCAAACAACAGGCTGTGACTTCAAGTCAAACAACTTTGTTGGCAACAAATCCCCATTTACGCGAGTTTGTGTTCCACTTCCATAACCTCAATACCATTATTTGGACCCGAACTCGATTTTTGAAACTCTTTTTCTTCAGCAGCTCTCCCAAGTCTCAAATCTTCCTCCTCATATATGTGTGGTCTCTGTAACTGCGTAGCTAACTTATTTTGGTGAATAAAGAGTCCAGGTTTACTTTCAAAGAAACGATCAATATCCTCCAAGCTTCTGTTTGCGGTCTCCGGATAGAAAAAATATGTAATCGGGACAAAACTCGCGCAAATGACTGCCCAGATAATCCAAAATCTCCATCCAAGATTTGCAATTCCTGACGGAGTCACTTCGGCAACCATATAGTTCATAATCCAGTTGGTAGCCATAGCTAGAGATGCACCCTTGGTACGCATTTCAAGAGCATTGATTTCGGTAGGATAGAGCCAGGGAACCCCTAAAACACCCATACCAAAAGATGCAAAAAACGCAAAGAAGAATGAGACTGCTACAGCTCCGTATTGATAGCTATGTGCTGGATCAGAGACAGTCAAGGCAAGTACGATAGTAATGATGATCCAGCAAGTAGAACATGCGAATGCGGACACCATCATCACACGTCGACGACCATATCGCTCAATTACAAAGTAGGCTAAACAAGCGAAAAGAAGATAGTCGACAGATCCTGCGGCTGCAAAAATGCGTGCTCTATTTATGTGTTAGTTGCGAGAGACCTGAAGGATAAAGGACTCTTACCTCAATTCGGATATTCCTAGTGCATGAATAAAAACGTATGTCATGTAATAACTGGTGACATTGATACCACTGATTTGATTCATTGCTTGCATCCAAGCTCCAAGAATCATACGTCTCAACACTCCAGATGGACCTTTACCAGACAGCAATTGGAACCAAGTATATGTGTTCATATGTTCTCGGTCTAAGACGTCCTTGATAATATTAAACTGTTGTTTCACAGATGGAGAGTCGATAGTTGCGCCATGACCCTCAAGTGCTGCGAGAACCTCATATGCCTCTTGGTATCGCCCTTTTCTAATGAGCAGACGCGGCGAATCTGGTAAGAATGGACACAAAGCCCAGATTACAGCAGTGAAGACTATTCTATTGTTGGCATAACATATATCATGTCCAAGTATATAAAAAACTCACAGATTTGGAAAGCTAAAGGAAATCTCCATGCCACACTACCCTTGTTGAATGAAAATCCAAGTGTAAGCCAATTAGAGATCGAGAATCCGGTGATGCAATTAGCCATCTGAATGATGACAAGTTTCCCACGACTTCTCATCTTGCTGGTCTCGGCCTGCCAAACACCTGCTGTTGCGGTGTTCATACCCGTACCCAGTCCTGCGACTATTCTTCCCACCATCATTTGCGCAACACTGTAACTAGCGGTTTGAATAAGTGCACCCAAGGCAATGATGGTGCTTCCTAGAAGTATCACTCTAGGTCGACCAAGAAGATCTCCGGTCCAGATAGTAGAGAGCGCTCCGAAGAAACAGCCCAGATTATAGACTGAAGTTAAAGTCCCTTGAACACTTGTTGCTGGATACCCCATAGTTCGAAGAAAGTCGTCACCAACTAACACATTTCCAAAAACACCCTAATACAGTCAGCACTTTAATCTCTTTCCAATAATTCTGACAAAGAAACTTACCTGGTCGTAGCCGTAGAAAACCAAAACCGTTGAAGCAGCAATGGATATCCACACCGTAAGTGGCTCACCAGAACCTCCAAGGTACTTACGAGCCATTGTGCGAAATTGATTCAAATATAACAACTAGCTACAGAACTTGCAATCTTGCATATCGCAACTTCATAAAGACTGGAGGACTTCTGATGTCTTTATACTTGGCAACCACCAGGGTGTACTATCGTATCATCCCTTGTGTAGTCGTGCTCCCACACAAGATGCACAGTGTCGATCATTACCAGATGTGAAATTTTGACGATAGAAGTGTTAGATGACTTCATTTGGATACAGTTTGACAGCCATGGCTGGGGCCAAGACAGTGGGACGAGTCATTGTCTTCTACTTGATATTAGTAAAATCGTGGGGACCCCAGATTTCGGTGGATTCGCGGGAAGTGAGCGGGGTAAGGCCATCTTGGAGTTTCAGGATTTGCATCCATTAGTGGGTGTATGGATTGATGGGACACTTCCCAACATTCAAAATTTATAACAAATATGTTCTTCAGTTGTTTGATTTCAAAATCATTACTCCCATTTCTTGACCTGTATCAAATCATTGAATCGAATTTTGAAGTATTTAAAGCGATACTTCTAGGAGATATTGCCTAGTCAATTTTCGAAGCGTTCTCTCAGTCTGTGCACCCGTTGATGATCCAAGCATATAAGCTAGAAGCTAATCCGGATAACCTTCGCATGCAATTTTTTGCTTTTTTATCTCGCTCAACCTTCCCTTTTTCCTTGATGTTCTCAGGGTTCACCAAGTGACCAGGATACACACAAGGGTAAAAATGGCGGGGTGAGATCAATGTGTTAATCCTCTGAAGAAATGATTCGCTATAAATTGAATGAAACCTTCTCTTTTGGTACTGCTTAACCGAATATTCACGGTCAGCTCATCAAGCCATTCCTTTTACCCGAATTCAATCATCGCACCTACCTTGCGTCGACACGTCTTTAGTTTACCCACATAAAACAGTCCATGTTTTCCGAACCCTTTACTTGATATAAATACATTCATATCGACCGGTGTACATTCTCCATTCGAGATCACAAACAACACTTGAAAATATACAAACATGGCGATGAACGTTGAATCCAAGACTGCCATTGTCACTGGAGCTGGCTCTGGTATCAATTTTTGTTTTGCAAAATTGCTACTCAGCAAAGGTTGCAATGTTGTCATTGCAGATCTCGCTCTGCGTCCAGAAGCTGAGGAATTGATATCGAAATATTCCAGCTCTTCAAATGGTCCGAAAGCCGTGTTTCAGAAGACAGACGTAACGGAATGGGTTCAATTGGAGAAGATGTTCGAGGTAGCAAAGGAGCAATTCGGTGGTGCTGATATTGTGTGCCCAGGAGCGGGCATCTTTGAACCAGTCAGTATTCACAAACCAAGATCGAGAATAGTAACTAATAGATAAACCAAGCCATTTTCGAATTTCTGGAACCCTCCTGGTACTCCCCCTTCCGTCGACAAAACCTCTGAATCACGATACAAACTACTTGATATCAATATCACTCATCCGATACGCGCAACTCAAATGGCTATTGAGCACTTCATGAAGCGGAGGAAGCCTGGTACTGTTATTCATATATCCAGTATTGCTGGCCAAGTTCCATTCTTTCCAACGCCAATGTATGTAGCTTCAAAACATGCTATATCAGGTTTTGTTCGTACTTTGGCACAGTTGGAATTCCCTTCTGGCGATATTCCCAAAGTACGCATAAGTGCAGTAGCACCTGGTCCCATAAAAACCCCAATGTGGACAGAGAATCCCGAAAAGATGGCATTTATCCGTGAAGATAACCCTGATTGGGTAACGCCAGATATTGTTGCCGAAGCGATGTTAGAACTTATCGAGAGTGAAGAATATCCTGGGGGTACAATTCTCGAAGTTGCCAAAGGAAATAGAAAAGTGGAAATCTTCAACGATCCTGGACCTTCACGAACATCAACGGCAGTTACACATGTACCTCGTGAGACTCAGGAAGCTGATATATGGGCATCTATGGAGAGGCAATCCCGATCTTAGACTAGATCCTCACAATGAACTAGTAGGATTTATTCAAGAAGAGAACCGCTGGCATTCACTCAAAGCATGAAAGCTGTATGTTATTATCTTGGCATTTGCTACGAAATTCTTCATTGAAGAATACCTCATTTAATATAAGGGCTACTTCATGTGATAATTATATCACCGTGTTTCCAAATTGATCCTTCAAGGTGAGCTTACTCTCCGATTCGTGAGGATCAGCTAGGAAGTAATCATGAATGACCCTAAGATCTCTTAATGTAATATCAACGCTCCTCTGGAAAACAACACCAGCCCCAACGGTAAGAGAAACTCCCCCTATCTTCAAAGTTCTGCTCTGAGGAACAGACTGCCCCTCCGTAGCAACAATATTAAGAGGTCCTTTCCAAGCATGCTTCATCTTGCCAGCCGTGATTGAGCTTGCAGACTGAGTCATCCTTGATCCATCAGATCCAAAATTATTCCGCATGTAAACAGCAAGAGTATGTTTATGTTTAGTGTTCGCATGATCCACTGAGGCTTAATGAGGAGTTGTTCGGAATCAAAAGAATCGCCTGAGTCGTAAGTGAGGAATCTATCGACATCCGGTAGGTGAAACTGCCCTTCGGCACCAGGAATTTCGATCTTCTTGAAGTTCACCCATACCAAGTCTGGGCTTTTACTGTAGGTTGGAAACAAAATGCCAAGCTTGTGGGTGGGACTTGGACGGGGAGGCATTGCGGTGATCTTCTTGCAAAGAGTTTTGTGAAGAGGCCAATCCATGGTTTGACATTCGGAAGAACAGTAGGCGGCGGACTTGCAGCGTGCACAGTCTTTTGCTGGGAAACTACAAATGGTACAACTTAATGCCAGTGGGGGCGAGCTGAAATCGGCATCGGTGGTAGAAGCCATGTTTTGTGGTTTTTGGATGAAAGTTAGTCGAAGAGGCGGTTCGAAAAAAGCAACTTGTAGGAAAATATGGTATCACCAAGACAGGAAAGTGAGCAGAGCTAAGCCCTATACTAGTAGTGAATTCATAGGAGTTGTTTTCTGTTTGCTCTGGTTGCAATGCAAACGAGATAAACTTGCTGGCATTTACCTTATTTATCACTTTGAACTAATATTACAATCTTATCGATGATTCAAGGGAACGACTTACTACCTAAATTTGTATACATCGTCCTTGAAGCACATATCCTGCAGCAATGGAAGTGAAAAGTTGAAAAGTTGAAAAGTTGAAAATAAAGAATACTAGCTCAGACTAATAAAAGTAATGATACTAGCTCAAACTAATAAGTGGGTAAGAGGGTATCTAACTAGCGTGTCACGCGTTTTTAGAATCTAGATGTCCAATGTGGGGTAAATCACATGTTATCGTGCTCATACCGAGGCCGATTTAGATTTTTGTCTGAGCTGAAAATGTATTTAGAATTTAGTAATGTGCTTTTAATATTAGAAAAATTATTCAATTTAGTACATAACGTGGTTTATCATCGAGCAGATCATATTACTAAGTGGATCACTCATTTTACATACAAAATTCGTTCGTATGTAATTGTTGGTTCGAGAAGGATATGAAAGACGTAGCACTCATGATATTCGTAGGTCCTAAATGTCTATATTATATTCTGTCTAAAGAACTAGCTAAATACAGGAAGTTATAGGCCTTATATAGACGCTACAAGAAGAGCTAGTTTCTTCTGCTTTCGCTTTGGGCTATTATATTCCGCATTCACTTACAACTGTAATATAGTAGCTAATAAATTGAAGCTATTTGTTACGGGAGCTGCCTCTAGGATTATATAGAAGTGTCTAGAAATCTCTCGAGATGGTTTAGATTAAACTTCAAGTAGGAATTCAATAAGATTATAATTGGTTGTAATTCTTATAATTATAATAATAAAACTAATGATTATTTTTGAATACGAAGCTTTATATTATAATGAAACCTATTCTTTTATATAAACCTTCTTGTTTAATATAATTAGTACAATTTAGTACTAATTTGTTTATACTTTTATAGCTTAGTATCTATTCCACTAAGGCAGATTGAACTAACCACATGACTTAATACCCAGTCCTATGCCTATATTGTGTTATTTATAACACTATCCCCTTCTTATCCTAATACTTATCCTAAGTGTTATATAATCATATGTTCTTTATATAACTATATTATAATGATTCTTTATTTCCTTTTATTATATCTATCATTAGTAATTCTCGTTCAATACTTAATCGTTATTGTTTAAGCTAAAAAATTAAAGATAAAGGAAATATTATAGTGCCTTATTCTCATTATGAAAAGAATGATTTACAATACTATACATTTTCTGAATTTAAACATTGTAGAGAATACATTTGTTCTGATTCTATAAAATGTGATGTTGTTGGTCTTTCTTCTTTTAATTAGGATATTCTATTTCGAGAGGAAGTTCGTTTTAAGGCTAAAAAGAAAGCTATTGTTTTTGCGGAATAGGAAGCCTTTTGTTGTTATATGGAAATTCGCAAAAAACAAAAAACATTTTATGACCGGGGTTCTAAAATACTTTGTTATAATGTTTATTTATTAAATAAACTGAATAAATTACTAGAAAAAGAGTGTATAAAGAAGGAAAAAGAGTTGACATCTATCTCTACTACTAGCCCTAGTAATAGTTCCTTTGTTTTCGATTTTTTTTCTTTGAATTCTTCGATCCTGGCTTCAATGGATTCTCCTTCCTTCTGGGAAAATCCGGGTATTATTAATAGAACGCCTCTAACTTTTCAGAACAGTTAAGGTTTGTTTTTGATTCCTATAAATTTTCAGTATATAAATAATCTAATTATTTAATTAAATATTTGATTATACCTTTAATGTATTTACAATCTAATATTGTTTTGACATTATATATAGTGTTTAAATTAACTAATTCGATTTCCGTTAATAACGCCCTCAGCACTCCTAATAATACTAGTTCGAGTAAGGATATATAGAATACTAAATAGATATTCATTATATCTAATAGTTTTAATCAATAATTAACGATTCCTATTACCTTATTAATCTTGAATAATCCTAGTTTCCTATAATCGAGTTTATTACTTAGTCTCTTGGTTTCGATATTTCGTTGTAATAAATAAACTTTATCCCCTTCTTTAAACATAAATTCCATACTACATTTCGTATTATAGTACATTACTATTCTAAAAAATATAAATCTTAAATCAAGAGCCAATTACTCTTAAAGATCTTTCAGTTATTCGATTTATACTATTACTAATTCGGTATTAACTTTTTATAATATTAGGATTTTATACGCTTATAAATTAAACCTAAAATTAGCCCATACTGATATGATTTTCATGGTTTTCGTTTCCAATATATTATATGCGAATTGTACCATAAGTAATAGTTCTACCTAATTGTCTTATTGATAATTTACATAGCATTTAAGATATACTTCCATTATCTAATTAATCCTCTCTATTTAACCATTTATTTGTAAATGAAAAGATATCAATAGCTTTCTCTTAATACTCATAAGTACCAATAAAGTAATCTAGAATTTCAAGGTAAAAAGCTTATCTTAATTCGAGATTATCTTATCTAATACTCCATATATACTTACTATAATTCTAAGGAATATATATACTAATTACTTAATATTCCATATTTCCTTGAATAATATTATATATACAAATTTCATTAGCCTATCTATTATATTGATTATTACATCATATTCAATTCCTATAATAGGATTCTTTGAAAGTAATAATTTGATTATAAAGTCCTATATAATAAACTTCTATAACTAAAAAAGTATATTTAGGATCTAAAACTGATTATACAGCACATATTATAATAACTTGTTTTATATATAAATATTACAACTTCCAACAACTTCTTCAATTATTATTCTCATTTATAAAAAGTAACTAATTTCCTGAATTTTTATAAATATTCTTACAATCCTTTAATATCTATATATTAATAACCTATATTGTTTCGTTACAAATTCCTTAATCATTTAACTCGAAATATATACTTTCCCATGAAAATATATAGTTTCGTTTTCTATTGTAAATCCTAGTTCTATTACCTTATATATATATATATAATTATAATATTCTTATTATAATATAATTGGATTTGACTTCTAAAATAATTGTTTTTTAATATATGAGTAGCTATAAGCTATAGTACATTATAAATTAATGATTTATCTTCTTTCTTAAATATTATATATAATTCGTACAACTTATTTTCTTAATATTCTAGTTTTCAACTGAGAATATCAACCCTAGCGTTTTTTGATCCTTTGATATATGAAATCTTAAAATTGTAATTAACCATGGTTTCTGATTATCTAACCTGTCGTCTGTTTAATTACTTTGTTATAATAAAGTAAACCAAATTCTTGTGATTTGTATATATCTATACTATATACTTCAATCCTTTTAAATACACTTGCTATTCTCTAAATATATTTACTATCGTTAATAATTCTTTATCATATATTTCATAATTCAATTTAGTTAGTAATAGCTTTCATAAATAGAATACGATTGGTTGGTATTTCTCATTCTGGCCTGGTTGGCTCAAAACTATATTTATAACAAAATCTGAGGAGTTCGTTTCCATTATAATTAATTTCTTTAAATCAAATGTTAATAGTATTGGCTCTTTTATTATTATTTGTTTAAGTGTATCAAATAATTCCTATGTTTTGATGGTCTATTTAAAACTTCCTTGATCTTTCTTAGTTAAATTAATTAAGGATGTTGTAATCCTTGAATAACCTTTAATAAACCTTCAATAAAAGTTGACAAATCCTAAAAAGGATTGTAACTCCTTAATTGTATTTAATTGCTTTCATTCAAGCATTGTCTTGATCTTATCTTTACTTATCTTAAGCTTTTAGCTTGATACAATGAATTTTAAGAATTCTATTTCTTTAATATGGAATTCGCATTTGTTTGGTTTGTATAATAAATCTGTTTTAATTAAGCTTTTGAAGATATTGTTAATGTTTTTAATATATTAGCTCTTATTATTTGAATATACTAGAATATTGTTCAAGTAGTATATACAATAAGTGTTTAAGTATAATAACAATATATTATTTATAAGTCTTATGAAAGTAATTGATATATTAGTTAGTCTAAACGGTATAACTTAGTATTCGTATAGCCTATATCTTATTTTAAAAGCGATTTTTCATTCCTTACCTTTCTTTATTCTAATCAAATAGTACCTGTTGTATAAGTCCATTTTAATGAATATTATAGCTTTACTTAATCGATCTCTTAATTCCATAGCTAATGGAAGTAGATATCGATCCTTTTTAGTAAGTGTATTAAGCTTTCTGTAATTCATAATTAATCTCTTAGTATTATCCTTCTTGGGTACTCATATAGTTAAACTTACTATTTGGGATGTGGATTCCCTAATCTATCCCTTAGTCAAATTGTTATCGATATATTCCCTAAGTGTTTTCAGCTTATCGGCTGATATTGAATAAATTGGGGTGTGTATAGGTATCTTGCTTTCCTTCAATATTATTTTATAATCCTATGGCTTATATTCTGATAAAGCCTTATAGATTCCTAATTTCTTAAACATATATTTATATTTCTTGTATTGTTCTAGTATTATAGACTCTTTTATCTTAATTAAAAATTCCTATTATATTATTGACTTTTGTATTTGTAAAGAAGGTGTATTAGTTTTTGCTTTTAATAAAGAATCTTAAACTAAGTGTTCTATATTGTTAAGATTGTTCACGTTCAACTCCTCTTAGTGTGTGTTCTATCTTATAGATGTTTTGAATATATCCTTATAATTATTCTTATACTGATCGAATGTTATTATCTCTTATGACCAATCTATCTTAGAATTGTGTGCCTTCAATTATAGCATTTCTAAGATA